TATATTCAGAAAATTATAACTTTTATAGTGGCATTCTAATCGGGGTGGGTTTTTATTCTGGAGAGACGTTTATAGAAAAAAAGAAAGGAACAATGAAAATATAAACATGCTAAACTATAATTTATGTCTTAATCATCTTTAGATGGTGGACGACTTCCTCCATATCGATGACCACGTCAATGTTTTGGCCATTTTTTTCGTTTATTACGTATAATATCTTGAACAAGCGCCCATGCTTGATCATCGGTAACCTTATTATTACCATGAGTAGCTGTATAATCTTTTTTAAAATCAGCCTGTAATTCTTCAAAGATTTGTTTTTGTTGTTGTTCTCCAACTTGTCCAGCTTCCGTTTTTTTTGCACGCCGTTTTTCTCTTGCAGACGTATATAATTCCCAAGTTTGATCAGCTGTTATACTTGATTCACCATATTGTTTTCTATACGCTTCAAGAAACTCTTGTTTAAATTCACCTTCATGTTGTTGATCTCCTGCTGCCCTAAACCCTTTTTCAATTCTTGTTGCCATATTTATTTAAGCGTTTGAAAACTAATCGAATATGTACAGTGACTGCTTGCATTTATATACATGGTAGTCAACAACGTCTCCCTGTTTATTTCGTTCGTCAAGGGCAGCAAATTTAAATAATATTATTAGAAGATGAATAATAATTTCTAGTTGAAAATAGAAAAAAAGAGTAAAAAGCACTCAAAAGACATCTTTCAAATCATTTCTTTTTCTTTATGTATATATATAAAGGAGAAACCCAAGGTTTGTTTGTTTGTCTGTCTGTTCGCTATGCATTCAGTCCCTGGAATAGTTAGCGTCACGAAAATTTCCACGATGCTTACTTAGTGTGCCAAGAAAATAGATGGACATCCTTCTAAATGATAAGCTCCCCCCTCTCCCTTTTTTTTTGTATTTTATCACATACAGTTTTCTCTTGTTCTGTTTCTTTGAATATTGTATTGAATATATTTAGTTAGTCGTAAGATATACACAAATAAAGAAGGTTGATTCAGCATAATAATATAAGAACTTATTCTGAATTGTAATTGGGGACTCGAAAACGGAATAGAGTCCGAACCACAAGCTAAATAAAGAAACAACATTCTATTACATCTTAATTCCGTTACAATTTGACGATCACGTCAGGATATATACCAATTACAATTCGGAATAAGTTCTTATATTATTATGCTGAATTAACCGTCTTTATTTGTGTATATCTTACGACTGACTAAATATATTCAACAGAATATTGAAAGAAACAGAACAAGAAAAAACTACATGTGATAAAATACAAAAAAAAGGGAGAGGGGGGAGCTTATCATTTAGATGGATGTCCATCTATTTTCTTGGCACACTAAGTAAGCATCGTAGAAAATTTGGGTGTGGGTGGGCGAGAAGAAATGTCCCCAACACCCACACCCTTCAGACTTTATTTTTTTTTTCGTAAGAATCATATTAAGATGCTCAATAAAATGGTATATTTTTTATTTATTTAAATAACTTTTATCATTTTCTAACACATTTTTTGTTGAACTTAGAGTATATTCATCGGATCTTTAAAAACTACAGAAGAAATCATAAAGATTGTCAACTGATACATAAGCTATTAAGTACTTTCAATATTTGTAACAGTAAAAATATTAACTCAGTTATTAACGAAAAGAAAACAATATACAATAGCGTCATCTATCTTCACCTGATTGTGTTTGCTAATTTTAACAACCTCTCTTCTCTCTATTCCGATTATTGTTGTCATCCCAACAAAGTTTCTACTCATTTGCTTAGTCTTGTCTAAGTGATAGTCAAATAAATTGTTCAAAATGTTGTCTTTGAATGATGCTGCTGTAAGTATTTTCTTGATGTTTAATATTTTGAATTAATTTCATATTTATCTAGCATAATGCTGAACAATATTCAGCTTTTGTCGAACAGCATATGAATGAACGTCGCCAACGTGTTGAACAACTTGATTCTTTTGTTCGTCATCGACTTCGACTTTATCGAGAAGCACAAGAACATGTTCAGCGACAAACAACGAATAAAACTGTATGATTGAATCATATCTATATATACATCGAGTTTTTATTTTATATCTATTTATTCAAAATAGATTGAAACAGTTGCTTTACCACCTCCACCAACATCAGGTGACACAGTTGTTGTTTTATCACAACGAGCTACAACTCCACTTCTCGAAAAATCATCGTCATCATCATCATCGTTTCATCCATGTGAAATGACAAACCGTGTTCGTCATAGTAAACAACGTTTAGCATCAAAACAACTTATTCAATCAGCTGATACTTCATCAACCGATGATATACAACCTGTTGGAACTTGGCTTAATCCTGCACCAATAATAACAGTAATATAGTTTTCAATTATTATTATTTAATCTCATTTTCTTATCTAAAGCCAAGGACAAATGAACAACCACGACCTTCATCAGGTAATTTTTCTTTTTGAATAAAATTCAAATAAAAAATTTATATTGTTTAGCAACAACACTTCAGCGATCCATGAGTGAAAATCATCTTTCAACATTTGCACTTAAAGCATTGACTAGTAAATAAGACGAAAAATTATTTATCTTCTTTATATTATATTGTTAAATATATAGATTCATTAACTAATGGTTTAACAAATATTGAAAATCGTAAACGTCTTCAAGCAACACGTGCTTTATTTATGACTATTGAACGACGAAAAGTTAAAGAAAATTTACTTTTAAATAAACAAAATAAAGAAATGCAACGGTTAGAGAGAATAAATAAAAATTGGACTTAATTTTTAATCGATTCTTTATTTAGTCTTGTTGAATTGAAAGAAGCTGAACGTTTGCATCAAGAAGAATCTCTAGCACAAAGACAAGTTTCAACAACTCATACTGTTTCAGGTTATTAAATCTTTACATATTTCTTTTTTTTTCGATTTATTAGCTAAATTTGTAGATCAATC